TTCACTTGCAAAATTTGCATCTGATAGTTGATGGGTCTTGTCAGATCACTGACTCATGAGTTGGCGAAGGATTGGCTTGGTCGTATAGCACGACATTATAGGAGGAAATTTGTATATAAGAATTAGTTGAAGAAGGAGATGAGAAGATGATGAGAATTCGAGAGAAGAGAGGGAGTAGGGTAGAATGCAGAGAACGAGAAGGATCAAATCTTAGATATTTTTTGGATAGATCTTCCAATAATGTTGGAGAGTACATATGCACACACACATACATTGGAGGAGGTCTACACCGGAGGAGGTTATCTGGGTGACAACAAGAGAATAAAATTAATCTCTTTTATCTCTTCGGCGACATTGTTGGTTATTTGGAAGGAAAAAGGGGATTTTGCCTTTTGAGGATGTTTTTTTTTTTTGATAGAGCTAGAGCCTCTTCGCTCCTGACTCTTTTGTTCAAGAGTCATCCTCTTCACATTGACAAGAACTTCGAAGACCTTATTGATATTTTGACTGAGGTGAAAATTCTCTTCCATTGTAAATGAGCGGCATCCTTATGGTGCCTTCTTTAAATATATTCCCTTTTTTTTTTCCCTCTAAAATAGAAGTCGTTTAAGTACTCTGCACTCTTTAAGCTTCACTTTCTGTTGTTGGCTGTGACCAGTGTTTAACTTACTATGTGTTGTTTATTACTTTCAATTATCCAATTCATATCTTAATTTTTAACTTTATTGTTGCAGGAGAAGAGACGAAATAATCTCAAAGACTTTCTGAATGTTGCAGGACCCATGGGTGTTACACATTTCCTAATATTGTCAAAAACAGAAACTGCACCATATCTAAGAGTTGCAAGGACTCCACAGGGACCGACACTTACATTTAAAATTCAAGAATATTCTTTGGCAGCTGATATTGCTCAGTCTCAGTTGCGTCCTCGATGTCCTCAAGATCTTTTCAAGACCCCCCCTTTGGTAATTTCTTCTTCTTCTTCTCTCTCTCTCTGAGGGACATGGGTGTTCACACATGCACAAACAGATGGACGCACTTGACTCACGTCTCTCCACTGTCCTGCTACAGTTTAGTGTTCTTACGCACGTAATGGTAAAGAACTTGATGTAGAATAACGGATATTTGTAACCACCTCCCTATTTTGTAGACGCTGTTCTTTTCACTTTCCTATTCGTCAAATATAGAGGGAGGGATTATAGCATATTGTTGGCATAAATGTGTACATATAAGTGACATTTCATTTTCATTTTTTTCATTGTAATAATGATCTTTGAATGTATATTTTTGGCAGATTGTTCTTTCTGGTTTTGGCACTGGAGAACAACATCTGAAGCTTGCCACTATTATGTTTCAGAACATATTCCCTGCGATTGATATCAACACTGTGAGTACCTAAGCTAATCTTATCCAGAGGCCAGAATTGGATGAACCTTCACTCTATTAATGTTACTGAATTTTTTCAGGTCAATCTTTCTTCTTGCCAGAGAATTGTGTTACTTAATTACAATAAGGACACAAAGCTTATTGATTTTCGGCATTATTCCATTCGTCTACAACCTGTGTGTGTCTCCCGTAGAATCAGAAAATTTGTTCAGAATCATCAAGTCCCTGACCTTCGAAACTTGCAAGATGTGAGTGATTTTGTAACAAAGTAAGTGTCCTCGCTTGTATGCTTGTCTGTTTCTATCTTATCTTGTATTTTCTTATTTGATAGATTGTAAATGTGATGCCTGGCATAACTGTTCTTAGTTTTAATAGACAACTAGTGGCTATGTTAATGGACCGGGTTATGTTTGTTCTCTCATTTTTCTTTATTTTCTGTTTGATCCTTAAAGGGCTGGTTATGGGTCAGAGAGTGAAGCAGATGATGAAGCTGCAACTGTGACTCTGACTAGTGATATTGGTAGAGTTAACCGGGCATCTGCAAAAAGTGCTGTACGGCTTCAAGAGATTGGCCCAAGAATGACCCTTCAACTTACTAAGGTTGAGGAAGGATTATGTTCTGGTGGAGTCATATTCAACGAATATGGTATGCCATCTTTTTTGACATTGTACTTGCAGTTTCTTGTAAAAAGGCGGCAATTAAAAACAATGTATCTGACCTTAAAAATAAAACAAAAGACACAGAATAATGTAGTTGAAAGAAAAGTTTGTCATTTGTCTTCCTGTGCTTTTCTTTTGTGGCGCCACTTAAGTTGCTCTACCACAACCCTGTTCGAAGTCCTTACTGGCTTATACTATCCGGGTTTTGTTTGTTAATCAACTACCACTTTAATGTTCCAGTTATCTGTGATACCTTGCCAAGCCTTTTACCTTCACTAACTTCAACAATTTCTGGTCCATTTTGTATGTGCTTTTCTTAGTGTTTGTTTAGTGGATTATACTAATTAGACACAGAAGTCACTATAATATGTTTATTAGCTTAAACACTTGGTATTTGACAGAAATGTACTGTAACAGTAAAAAAAGTTAGGTACAGGACCAGATACTATAAGATTGTCCAATATTATGTTTCTTTAAGCTCTGTATTGGCCAGAAACACGCTGTAGCAAGTAAAAAAAATGTTGTAACTATTATACTTTAAGACAAACTTTCTAATCCAGACATCAAGGATTATTATTAGTCCTGCACGCCACAAGAATATTTCTATTTGTATCATCTTCATCTTCAAGATATTTATGTTGTGCTCTATTGCAACACTACCGAATGCTATTATTTGTGTGTGCATGTGTTACTATGCAATTTTCTCTTTTCTAATTCCCATCTATTCTCACCACTCTTGTTGATTTTAGGAAATGTCAGTGAGAAGAAAAAGCATGAAGATGCTGATGAGAACATGGTGACAGATGAAGCAGATGAGGAAGAAGAAAATGAGGACAATGATGAAGATCAGGAAGAAGAGGACGGGGACAATGAAGCCGAAAGTGGTGATGAAGATTGATGTTTGACACAGGCCTGATCGTTCTCTGGAACCAGATGCTCAGAATGGAACGCTTGCCTGTTGGAACTCCCTCTGGACTATGATTTTATTCATGGAGGATCTGGGTATCAAAGGCAGTGGAAAAAGTACTCAGTATTGTACCCACTTGTCAGTTAAATTTTGACATGTGAATTTTCGAGCTTTTAATTAACCTAATTTTTGCAAGAGCTGTTTACTCTAAAAATCCCCTGTTGCAGCCACCTTTTCCTCTTTAACCTTCATTCTACCTGATCTTCGTCTCTTTTGTTTGGGATGACCATACGAGCAGTGGGTTATGTAAGATGTTAGACACTTCATGAAGATTTTAAAATTTTTAGGTATAATTATACATGACTTTACTATCACATTATTATGATAGAAATTAAAAATAAATTAAATGAAAGCTCATTATATCTAAGTCCAGCTTATTATTATTTTTCGCTGAAAATAATTATAATGATGGGTTTTTTCTGGGTGAATTTACAGTTCTATACAAAACTATAATAAGACTTTTATGTAAAATAATTATAAACTATTAGTAATTTAGTATTTTAACACAGTTCACTCTTTACAGGTTTCTATGTAGAGAGGTTGAGTTTTTTCTGGGTGAATTTGAAAAATGCAATTCACATTGTTGTAGGGTAGAGTGATTTTACTCAAAAATACAAGTTGTCAAACTAAGAAGTATATTTTTGTAGAGGTTAAACTAATCTTTGTGGTAATACACTATATTAATATTACTATTTTCTTTTAAGTTATAGTTACTGCCACATGATTTCCTCTTTTAAGTGTATATTTGGTATACCAAATAGGATAAGTTACCGAGTATATAAATTTTTTTTTACCATGTTAATTGTCCGAGAGTAAATTTTTTTATGAGTAGGTTAAGATATATATTGTCCTAAGTTAAGTGGTGTTTTTATATGTACTATTATTTAGATAATACTTTAAAGAAATTATCATTACAATTTTTATTATTACATACTATTATAATCATATCGCTATTTTTATTCTGTTAATATTATTGTTCCCAATTATTATTATGATTATTATTGTTACTACTATTACTATTATTATCACTATTACCACTATTGTTGTTATCGTATTTATCTTGATATTATTATTATTACTACTTTACCATCATTGTTGCCCCCACAACTAATATTTCACTATTATCGTCGTCATTATCCCCATTAGCATCAACATAGCCGTCATAACCATTTCTTTTATAGTTGTTGTTGTCATTGACTATTATTGCTGCCACTCTTGATGTTAGCTATCACCACCGTTGTCCTCTTCACCCTACCACAATTGTTACATTTTTTGAAATGTTTACTCTATTTTTATGCTCTTATAATCTCACTTCTAATATTATTATCGTCACTATTAATATTACTATTATTTCTACAATTCACCTATTAATGGTACCTTCATTTTTTTTTTACCATCATTATTATTGTTACTATCGTTATCATAAGTATTATCACATGTTAAAATTATTATTGTCATTACTATTGTTATTATTATTACTCCTAATTGTAAATATAAATTAAAAAAATTATATTGTGATTTTTGTTATATACTACTTATTTACTTATCTCGTCATTTCAAACATAGAATTAGAAAGAAATTCTTATCTTAAATCAATTATTCTATAATACTAAGTTACCTTAATTTATTTAACACACTACATTATTTATATACCATAAGTAATCTAAGTTGATATAATGTTAAAGAAACATCAATATTTTACTTATTTAATAACTTAATTAATGAAAAATATATCAATTAACATATAAAAATTATTTATTCAATAAAAAAATTGCACTGATTAAATTTTAGTCGTAACAATCAACTAAATATCTTATTTAATACATAATTTATTTACAAATATATGTGTTGAATACATTACAACTTTTGTTAAACATAACATTTTAAATAATTTATTTGAAAATTATCCATCAATAAATATTAAATTAAATACTTTTAAAATTTTATTAAATGGATAGAACTTAAAATATGTTGTTCCAATTTGTTTAAATTTTTTAAAAAATTAGTTTTATTAATTTTAATTAAAGTAACTATAAATTTCTAAATTAATTTTAAAAATTTTATTTATTCGCCTAAGCTTTTCGCCCAAAGTAACTGAATCCATCTCTATTTATCCGTGGAATCATGTGGTAATCCTAAACAAGTCAAATATAAAAAGCAAAGAAGTCGACTCATTCCTTTTTGATGAAGGCAAAATCCACTAGTAAACGAATCATCAAGTCCTGCTCTTCCTCTGCTTCTTCCGCTGCTTCTTCCTCTCTCCCTTTTCGCTTGAGCTCTCTCTCCTTCAATTATCTCAAGTCTCTAAGCCCTAAATTTCTCATTCCTTATAATTTCCGCTCAACTACCAGATTCTGTATAGAAGAGTTGTAAACACGGTTGGTAAGTTTTGCGATCATCTGGTTTTCGTTCCGGGTGTTTTCTATCGAATTTCATGCTAATCTGGTTTCCTCTTTGATTTTCTCATTGAATTTGAAGAGTTTGGATTATCAATTCAATTCTCTTCTTTTCCTTTTTTTTTCCTATACACAGTGCATCGCCAGTTCAATTAATTTGCTCTTTATCTTTTTCTCTGTCATGGACAGGGATTTTTCTTGTTGTTTCCATGGTGGCGTGTTGATGTGCATTGTTTTTATGTTGGGGAAAGACACACTCGAGTCTGTTTGGAGAAGTAAAAAAGTCTAGGAAAGTACCTAAATAGAAGTTTTTCTAATTAAAAGCGAAAGTCAGCTTAAGCTCTATCAAAAAAGGTAATTTCAGAATTTAGTTATACTAGTGAACTGGTACTCGCAAACGCTAAGAGAATAATTAGACCAAAATGTGGTTAAAACTGGACTTGAAACAGTCATATATATATATATATATATAGATATAGATACCAGTGTGTATGTATACGTAAGCAACCTACTCCATGCACTTATCACGTCGCTAAAGTCACACGATGAGAGATTAGGGATCAGTCCTCACCTCTCGTTAATGCTCCTGGTATGTGTTTCTCACTTATGCAGCCTTTTAGATGCAAGTCTATCAAGTAGTTCACATTTTCCTCTCTGATCTTCAGTTTCATGCCCGGATATCTCCCATTGTTATAATGATCTAATGTAATTGTGGTCTCTCATCCAGATCATGAAATCTACTGAAAAATATAGTGATTTAATATTATGCTAAGAAGTGATATTGACTTTGTTTTCTACTTATATTTTCCAAGTTGTAATGACTTATTTATAACTTTGTATACGAATTTTTTTAATTCTTGTTACTTTGACTTTGGTTTTCATACAGGATTACTGCACGCTCGTCTCGATCTTCTCACTAAAGTAGAGGATGGTTTTGTCACAGAAACTCCACGAAGCATTCAAAGGAACTGTAGAAAGAATCACAGGGCCACGCACAGTCTCTGCTTTCAAAGAAAAAGGAGTGCTTAGCGTAAGTGAATTTATTCTTGCTGGAGATAATCTCGTGACTAAATGCCCCACCTGGTCCTGGTAATTTCCTTATCTTTGTTACTGTCTTACTAATTTATATATATATATATATATATATTAATTTCCTATTTCAGTTATTTTCCAATTTTGACCATATCAATAAATTTCTGGACTAATCTGGATTTAATCTTATGGTGGTTAGCAATTTGGGGAAATTGAGATAAGCTGTTCCATGATACTTTTCTTACTTTCTTTGGATGTAGAGTTTGTTGGTTAGTATTTGTTTCAATTTTTGATGATTAAGGACTCGCTGTGATTTTACAGTGTAATTGATATGCCTTGCTATTTGTTTGTGCGCATGCATGCCTTGATGATAGAGAATGCCTTTCATGTCCTACCACTCGCTGCTACCCAATCTTTTTCAATAGTTATCTTAGGAGGTAAACTAATATAACTTGAGAGCTGACTGAAGTTATGTGATGTGACACTAGATCTGATCTAACACAGTTGGCCAGCTACGAAAAAAATATGATTTAGGAACATCAAATATGATTCTTTATTCACAATATTGATATTTTTTCTACTTCTATTCTTGCTCTTTTGCACCTTTAAGGGAGAACTTTTTTTTTTTTAATAATAATTATCAGAAACAGAGAGAACGATCTGCAAGTTTTGAAAGTCTTAGAATGTGTTTAATAGTTTATTATTTGGGGAATCGAAAGTAAAGTAAGGGATTTTTGTTTGATGATTTTTGAAGAAATAAGGATAAATTAGAGTTTCATTAAATCCCCTACTAACATTGTACCTTTCAATTTACCCAACACCCCAAATCTTTGAGGGTTTCGGAATTCATCTAAGATCATATATGAGGCAAACTTATACGAGTGTCCATTTTATTGTAATTATAACATATCTCTTTTAATGTAGATGGTAGTTTTATCATATTTATCAAATAAGCTACTTTACCCTATTTGACCAAACAAGATGGGGTTGAAAACTTCCCTTTACCTCTTTTAATTTAATTCTGAAACACAGATTGATTATAAACAATTATTTTATTTGTCCTATTTTATTTCTTCATTAACTCTCAGAAATAGTATTAGAAGCTGAGTAATAATGTATCTTGGCTCTTGATGGGTTGTCCTGTTCCTGCTATTTGGCCTTGATTGGTTTTGGCTTTTATGCATTTACCATCTAAATCTATGCTTTACTCAAGATGAGAAACACTGAAAGACAGGTCTAAATCTAGTTAAACCATCAACTTGTCATCTAGCACTATAGTTTTATGCATTTCCTTCTTATTCTGAGTACAGCTTTGCTTATAATAAACATTATATGTAAACTCTTTTATACATAGGTTTCTGCACCCCCTTGGTGCATGTAAGTAATACATTTCATACTTTTTATTTTTAAGAAAACATTATATTACACAATTTTAAACTTTGCAAGAAGAGTGATTTAAGGCATTATATGTCTGTCTCTCTTCAATTTTTAATTTTAATATTATTTTCTTTGTAACATACATATAAGAGTACATAATATACTTAGAAGAATTGGCCTCAATCTGCATTTTCAGTATCTTTTTTTTGAAGTGCTGAATTAATATCTTGATCTCATTTAGGTCGAATTTTTTTGGATACCTGTTTCTATATTCTTAATAGGGAATCAGGTGAGCCCAGCAAAAGGAAGCCATATTTGCCCCTAGACAAACAGTTTCTGATTACTAGAAATGGTAACTTCTTTCATGGTTCAGTTTTGTGTTTGTCCTCTTCAAGTTGGTTTCTTGATCAAGATTTTCATGAAGTTCCCAGATAGTTGTTACACATCCTTCTTTTTTCCCCTCTTTTTCTTTTCTTCCATATTAACTTTATCTGAGCTGACAACTTCCCCTTTCAGTCCCTTGCCTACGTAGAGCTGCATCTGTAGAAGAAGAATATGAAGCTGCTGGAGGTGAAGTTCTGCTTGATAATGAAGATAATGATGGCTGGCTGGCAACTCATGGAAAGCCAAAAGGTACATTTCCCTGTGGAACTGGATATTTCTAATTATATTTCACTTGTTTGACTCGGTACCTCAAATTTATTTTAGATAAATATGATGAGGATGAGAACTTGCCCACCATGGAGCCCTTAGAAACCAACAAAAGAAACATTATTCAGTCAATCTCCACATATTTTGGAGGTGAGGAAGAGGAAGACATACCGGATATGGCAGGTTATGCAGAACCTGATAACATAATTGAGACAGATCCTGTAAGTTGATTTTGATAATGCTACTTCTGAAGGTCTTTGCTTTCTTAAAAAATATTTTCTACAGAAAGATGCAGAAGAGTTGTATGGAATATTCCCAATCTTTAATTTTCGCATCTTTTCTTTTTTGCCCATTTATTGAGCATTAGAAAATCAAAACTTCTAAAATAATCAAAAGGATGTTTGGCTGTAAAGGCCTAAAACTTGATGAAAATGAATACATTGAATTAGTGAAATAATTGCAGAAGCAATTATGAGTTTATGTTTTACATTCATTGTATAGTAAATCAGAATACTCAATAGAGTTACGGAAATGTCCCTTCAGCGAACTGAAAATAACGAAAATAAAGAATTTATAACTAAAATCCTATAGGGTTAACCTCCGCTGAACAATTATGATGGAATGCAGGAGACAAATCTTTAGTTTCAACCTTTTTGCTGTTTAGAATATGAATTTTGGTTTTTTGATCTGAAATGGTTAAATAAAGAGAATGAGCTACACTAGTGTACTAAGAATGTCAATACTTAACACCGATACAAAAAATTAAAAGTTGGTAGAAATCATTAAAACAACCAATGGAACCATTTTCTTTCTTAAATAAATTCATTCAATACAAAACATGACTTTCATACCTACCCATTTTAAGTTTTCAAAACTGACTTATGATGCAGTAATCAGAATACAATTTATTACACATTTAAAGGGACAATAACAATAAACTTACATTTTTCACACATACCAGTACTTTTGGGGGGTCATAGGGATTTCTCTATACGTGGACCCAATATCCAATTTTATTAACTAACCGGCTATCCCCATACCCTATTCGGTGATGGACACCAAACATATCACCGCCTCAATACCTTATCCAGTATGAGGGTGAATTATACCTCATAATCCTTTCTGGTATGAGACTTCTCAGCCCCGTTCGATTGAGATAATGTTTGCGGTAGACTTCCCCTATGTACCTGGTCCGTACACCCATCCACAAGATACTCGATAAGCTTTTTATACACATTTTTACATCATCAATTACATACAACCGTTTCATATTTACAGATCAGTGATACAACATGCAAATAGACAGTACTCACAATCAAGAAAGTATGATTAGGACATTTACTTCAAATCAGTCAATAGGTAAGAATGATCGTAAAACAATCAATGAACGAGAAAGTGATTAAAGTTAATAAATAATAGCAATTTAGGCAGTATAGGAATAAATAGACAACACAGTTAGGGTAATTATACACTGATCGGTGTTGGCTCCAGTAGTGACCTGTCATTAATTTAGGGATATGTAATTTTTTTATAAAACACACCGTTATTTATTATTAAACTTTAATTTACTGTAACGGGACAAAAGAGTGAGAGATTCTTACTTTAGGTCGGTGTTTGAAACATCGCCTTTTTCATTGCGCTTCTTGGTGGTTCGCGGGTTTTCTAGATTTTTTTCTGCGGAATTCAAAAATACGCGTCACGTATTCTAAACTACCCCAAAAGACAAAAAATATGCATTTTTAAGCTTTTCGACCAGTTTA